TATATGCTCTAATTTTTATTTGTGAAGCCTCTATAAATTGATAGGCAATGCCACCTTGTCCTTGAATTCAACTGCCAATCTCACATACTCTTATTCTCCTGAATGTTCTACAGAATTGACATTTTATTAAATATAAAAAAGTATCCCAGTATGTGTATTAGATTTATATATTTGGTTATCAGCGAATTTGAAAATCTTCAAAGTTCTCAAAATTTTTTAGACACCATCTCACTAAGTAGCCCAGATAGGTTTCAGACTTGCAATTCTCTACCTCCACTTCCCAGATGCTAGTTACAGGCATGTATCACCAAACCCAGGTGAATTTTAAAACTTTAAAATTTTATGTTTTACCTGCATGTAAGTGCACCACATGCTTGCAATGCCCACAGAGGTCAGAAGAGGGAGTTGGATCTGGAGTTATGCTTGGTTGTGAGCAGTCACGTGGGTGCTGGGAACTGAACCCAGTCCTTTGCAAGAGCAGCCAGTGCTCCTAACTGCTAAGCCGGCTCTTCAGCCTGACTTTAAAAATTTTAACTGGACATTTTACTTGGATTTTGAGGATAAAATGCTTTTGTCTATCAGAAATGGCTTTGAAATGTATCTCTAACTACAGAGCAAGCAATTCTCATTAGCTTGAACACAGCATACACTGTAGCCACACAAAATCTGTTCTCTTGAGAAAACTTGAATCCTATACCTGTGGTAGTAAAAATGTCTGAGTAAAGGTCCACAGTCTATTTTGGATTGGCTGAACCAATCTATCTCCAATCCCACTTGCTCTTCTTGCATTCTGATATACCACCTCCTCCAAGCAAGAAATTCAGTCTACTTCGCTTTTCCTTATATCTGGGATGTTTTTATGGTGGAAGTTTTGCTAGACTTTGAAGGTCAAGTCCTAAGTCAGCATCTGCTTTGCCTTAACCTGGAAGCCTTGAAATGCCCCCACACCCGCCCAGCTGCCCTGTAGGCACCATGCTATGTAAAGGCAGCCACTAATAAAGTGCTCAAAGGGACCCCTTCCAACCCAGGTGAATGAAAGGCCGAAGACCTTCCCAAGACCCAGATATTTGTCAAAGTTTTGAGACTTTGTACCATAATGGTAGGTGCTTTGTTACACTGCAATAACAAGCATTCTTCTGCCAATGCTGCTAAGTAGCCCAGCCCACCAATTTGGTTGGAACCAGAAAACACTTCCTAATGTTTGCTCCAATTTTGTATCTAACAAACACTTCCCTTCTCTGTATCACAGACAGTGGAGGTGCACCTTTAGACCCAGCACTGAGGAGGCAAAGGCAGGCAAGTAAGTTTGTGGCCAGCCTGGCCTACATAGTGAATTCCAAACAAGCCATGGCTATAGTCTCAAAAACTAATCCAAGTTAATGTACACTAGCTTCTAAATTTAGTTCAGTTGTTAGGAATACAGGTTAATAATGAAAGCATCTGTCTCCTCGTAGCACGGTATAGCGGATCTGTAATGCCAGTTTTCAGGAAGCTGAGGCAAGAGGTAACAAAATTCTCAGGCCTCTACTTTCCTATGTAAATTGTCTACCCTCCCAAATACCCAAGGACTTCAAGGCAAAATGTCATCAAATTCAAAAAGCAAAATATAAACTAGGCTTTTGTATTTCCACATCCAATGTAAAGAAAACACAGAATGGATTACTTTATGATTTTAAAAATGTGAGCTAGGGGTCTAGAGGGATGGCTCAGCAGTTAAGAACATTTGCTACTCTTGCAGAGGACCTGGGTTTAATAACCAGCACCCACATGGCAGCTAACAACTATCCATTACTCCAGTTCCAGGGGATCTGACGCTCTCTTCTGACCTCTGCAGGCATTGCATGACATGGGTACACTTACATGCATGCAGGCAATACACTCATATACATAAATTTTAAAAAGTAAAAAAAAAAAAATGTGGGCTAGGCCAGGTATACACCTTTTAAACCTCAGCACTTAAGGCAGGGCAGGAGGATCCCTGAAGTTTGAGGGCAGCCTGGTCTACATAAAGTTCCAGGTAGGCCAGGGATACAGTAAGACCCTGTCTAAAAACAAATTTTTGAGTGGGCTAAAAACAAACCTCAGTGCCGTATGTATGCTAGAAGGTTATACTTCCAGTTGCATCCACTTAGTTCAGTTTTCAAGCAGTTATTTTCCTCTAAAAAATTTTTTTAGCCAGGCATGGCAGCACACCTTTAGTCCCAGCACTAGGGAGGCAGAGGCAGGCTGATCTCTGCGTTCAAGGCCAGCTTGGTCTACATAGTGAGTTCCAGGCCAGCTGGGGCTACAGGGGAGATGGTCTCAAAAAGAACACCCCCCCACCCAAAAGAAAATAGCTGACAGTAAATTTATAGTCAGATTGTGTGAAGAGAATCAGGTTACCCTAGATGTTTTTAGCAACCCTGTTTTGGTCTTTATCATTTCTAAAACTTAGCCTAATTTGGGTGACCTTTTATAAATAAGCATCAATACTTAATTAGCATTAAAAATAAGACATGAAGGTAAAATGTGATATGCTAAAATTAGCTTGTCAAAATAAAACCAGATGAGTTTTTATAGTTAGTAAATCAAGCTTTTGAAAACTTTAGATTTCCTTGACATCCTTGAATGGCAATTTATGAATAGCACCAATGGTTGGTTTGCATTTTTTTCTTGGGAGTCTTAAATCTTTCCATAGTAGGGTTAAATCTTTTTTTTAAAAGTAGTTTTTAAAACAACATAACTCACAGACATCATGAATGGATGGGTTTATTTCAGCAGTGAGAGCAAAACTCTTGCCTTAAGCAAGGGTACTACAGTAATTATATCAGGAACAGACAATTATCCTACACTGTCAAATATATAAAAGTTCCTTTTGCACTTTCTTCAACACTGATCAACAAGCAGATTCAGTCCATATTTGCTGTGATGTATCTACTGAGTTAACCCAAGCTTCTTCTTCAGAGATTCTGGCATCTCAGGTGGAGGAGGGCGAGGGAGCCTGAAGTAAACCTTCACAGAGTCATAGATGAACCACTGTAGTGCAGTCAGAGTGCCAATCATGATGATACGGGCAAAGAGTCCCTTCCACACACCTGGTTCAGGGAGAAAATGTGAATGGAACATTGCAGTATAACCAAATGGTGTTCTTTCTTTATAGATGGGAAAACCCATCTTACCTTTAAAGCCAAGTCTCTGGAGAACCTGAGAAGCACTGCTACCTTTCTCTTTATTCAACACAGATACCACAGAATCAGCAGGGTGAGAAACAATTGCACAAAAGACTCCAGCTGGAAGAAAAAAAATCAAGATACATATAGGGTCAGTAAAGAAAACACACACTACAGTTAATCCCTTTTTACAACCTCAAGAAACTTCCCCTTTAGTTTTTGCTTTGTTATTTTGAGACAGTAAGTGGCCCAGGATTGCCCTTATTCAGTAACCTTCCTGCCTCACCTAAGTACTAATAAAGTATTACAGGTGTCTATCATCACACTGGATTCCTTTAGTTTTATTATTTTTTAAAAACCAGATTTTAGCTGGATATGGTGGTACATTTCAGCTACTCAGGAGGCTAAGGCAGGAAGATCATCCGAGCCTATGAGTTTAACCAGCCTTAGACAACACACAAACATACAAACACACACACACACACAAAAAAAAAGAACAAAAAAATATCACTTTTCTGGTAACACTAGTAAGGTTGTATGTAAGCAATCTGTTTTATGTAAAATTGAACAATTCAGGTTTGGGGGCTGGAGAGATTGTTCAGGGGTTAAGAGCACTGGGTGTTCTTACAGAGACCCGAGTTTGATCCCCAGCACACACATGGTGGCTAACAACCATCCATTACTCCAGTTGCAGGGGATCAAACGGCCTCTTCTGACCTCTATGGGCATTACACATGGGTACACTCTCATACATGCATACAATACACTCATACAAACAAAATTAATTTTCAAAGGGGCTGGAGAGATAGATGGCTCAGTGGTTAAGAGTACTAACTGCTCTTGCAGAGGACCTGGGTTCAATTCCCAGCACCCACATGGCAGCTGGGAACCGTCCTTAACTCCAGTTCCAGGGGAATCTGAAGCCCTCTTCTGACTTCCACAGCATTGCACGACACAGGTGAACTCACATACATGCAGGCAATATACTCATACACATAAAATAAAAATGTTCTTTAAAAGTTAAAACTGGGCTGGAGAGATAGCTCAGTGGTTAAGAACACTGGTTGTTCTTGCAGAAGACTCGGGTTTGAATCCCAGCACCCACATGGCAGCTAACAACTGTCTGTAACTCCAGTCCCAGGAGATCCAACAGACTCTTCTAACCTCCAAGGGCATTGCACAACATGGGTGCACTTACCTACGCAGGCAATACATGCATACATATAAAATAATTTTTAAAAAATAGTAACAATACACACACACACACATACACATATATATTTTTTTGGTCTTTTTTGAGACAGGGTCTCCCTGTAGCCCCAGCTGTCCTGGAACTCACTATGTAGACCAGGCCAGCCTTGAGCTCACAGAGATCCTCCTGCCTCTGCCTCCCCAGTGCTGGGATTAAAGGCAGGTGGATCTCTCAAGTTCAAGGCCAGCCTGGTCTACGGTCTACATAGTGAGTTCAAGGCCACCTGGGCTACAGGGAGACCCTGTCTCAAAAAAACGACCAAAAAGAAAGAAAAGAAAAAAGTATTTTTTGAATTCAGAAGAGCTTATAAAACATTATGGCAAGATAATACTGCTTTATAACCTTTGGAATATTTTCCTCACAAAAAGGGAATGGGAATTTTATAATCTGTTCATATCATGAACAAATGTGTTCTACTTCATACCTATGTAACCTGCCACAAATGTTACAACCAGCTGCTCTGGCTTTGTACATTCGCTTCGGGGCTTAGGAACCACAAACTTGTACAGTGCTTCAACAGTACGTTCAAAGCAGGCGAACTTCATCATGGTGTATGGTATCTGTCTCATCCACAGAGGAGCAACACCCTTGTAGAACCTAGGAAATTAAGACACCTGTTACATGGTTGCATAAGTTAAATCTAGCAGAGACTTTCACCACAACAGAAGTGTCCGCACACCAGTCGAGTCCTGACAGTAAAAAATGACAGCGTAACTGCAGGTCATTTCCATCAGAACCTAAAGACTAACATGCAGGTATATTTATCTCACATGCCAATGACTCAAGCACCTTTGACTATACAACCAAAAAGTTGCTGGATGTTTCTTCAACTGGAACTACAAGAAACAAGAAGTTCACAAGTAGAACTCAATTCAAGATTCATCCACAAAGGTGGATCTAAGGAAGCATGTTGTCATCAGAATAGATGCAAATGAACTGTGACTACAAGCAGTTCTGACAAGCCCCACCCCACCAAAGTCAATAGTAAACGTTCAGACCAAATATCAAGTTATTCTCATACAACAATTCAGGGCTCAAAGCATGTATTAACTTTATCTTTGTCCTTAGAGTTTAGAGTCTAGATGCATGCAAATAGATACAAATTATACAATAGTTTAAAAAAGGACAGAAAAAATAAAAATAAAAAATAAAGTTCTGGAGAATGAATATTTTAAGGAAAATGTTTACTTACGCATTTAAGCCTTCTTCTTTGTACATTTTAGGAACTGCTTCCCTCAGAGTGTTGGCATAGCCTGGCTGGGTTTGAATTCGAACTTTAGCAGCTTCCATAGGAGCCAGGGCAATGTCAGCAAAGAATTCAGCACTGGCAGAAGCAGCCAAATACAGTGATGTTCGCCAAAGATAGGTATTCTCCTAACAATCAAAATACAAGGACATATGTGAACTGCGTTGCATCAGCTGCTTTCATGTAACTTCCTGCAATAGCTGAGGAAATTAAACTTCACTCCTCCTTTTTTTTAAAAATTTAAGACAGATTTGTCACTATCCCAGGTTAGCCTTCAACTTGCCATGTAGGCCATATTGGCATAAAATATCACAACTCTCCTGTTTTCTACCTCCTGAATACTAGGATTACAGGTATGAACTATCCTGCTTTTTTATTTAAGAAAAAACCAACCAGGGTCTCCCCTGGAGACCCAGCTGGCCTGGAACTAACTATATAGACCAGGCTGGCCTTGATCTCAGAGAGATCCGCCTGCCTCTGCTCCAGAGTACTGGGTCTAAAGGTGTGTACCCAACAACCTGACTTTTAGAAAGTATTTTTTATCAAAATTGTCCATAAACAAGTTATCAATTGAGTATATGTATATATGTATGTATATATTTTACACACACATGCAGTCTTTTATAACCTCATGAACCAAATGTTCAACAATGTGAATGCTGTACAATGCAAACTTTTAAATACCCAGGGCAAGTATAGGTCATCCTGCAAACCTCAGCCCTTCTCTTAAAAAAATAAAAAACATACTAATTTAGAAATTTAACATCATTAAAAAGGCAGAGAAATCTTATAGAATATACTTTATGTTTCTCATCCTATCTCTGCTAAGTCAGCCTTATGATTTGAGACAAACTGCTATCTCTGGGGCTATTTCTTCAGTTGCGAAATAAGTTAAACAGAAAACAAAAAATTCCTTTTAAGCTTAAATACTTAAGACTTTGAATGTCGAAGTTAAACCACATACCTCACCAAGCATGTTGCTATACAAGACTTTGAAGACTTCATAAAAGCCAAACTTGCAGAGCCCTTGCATAGAATAGCCAATAAAAGTTGGAGCCCATCCTTTAGCCAAACCACGAACACCATCCTCTTTCAGTGTAACTGAGAAT